CACTGCCGGTAGGCGTGCACGTGGTCCAGCTGTGGTGGAAGGCAGTCAGGCACGTGCCGGTCAGGGCTGGCGGTGCCCCCGCTCTGTGACTCAGCAGACGGCTGCCGGGCGTGTGCTCAGCCCTGCCCGTGCGCACCAGCGGGTGTCCTGAACATTCACACCTGCAGAGCCCGCAGCTCGTCCGGTGTGCGCGACAGAATCACGGCTCTGTCACGGCAGCGGAGCACTGCGGGGCAGTGACAGCGACATACCAGGTGTCTTTACAGAGCAAGCCAAGCAGTGTGGGAATTTGTCCTTCTCTGTAAAGTTCTCAGAAGGCCAGGGTGTGAGAGACGCGATGTTAGGACAGTGGTTATGTCTCGGAGGAGAAGTGGGGGATAGACCCGGAGAAGGGTACTCACGCTGGAGTGTTGGTACCGAAGTACGTGTTACATAATCCTCTGTGCAAGTATGTGATGTTTAGGATCGAAATGTTTTCTAGTAAGTAACTTCTGTGAGGGGTGGGTGGGTGACATGCTGAACCCGTATCACAGCTCCCTGGATGGGGGACTGCTCGTTCTCCTTGGGGAGTGGGCTGCCGTTGGGTTAGTTACTTAGGCGGGGAGTGGGCAAGCCCCAGGATGGAGCCCTTGCTCAGTTGCTTGCTCTTCACCTTAGCTCGTCAAGGCTCAGTTTCCTCCCCGGGGAAAGGAGGCTCGGGTGAGGAGACTGAGCCTGGAGAGATGAGGAGAAGGTCAAGCAGGGCCCTCTGGCCCTCACCTGCACCTCCTGGATTGAAGGAGGCAGCAGAAGGAACCAGTTGCTGGTTTTGTGATCTCGAACAGGTGACTTTGCCTCTCCCGGCCTGGGTTTCCTCATCTGTAATGTGAAGGTAAGAGCTGGCCCCAGATGATTGGCTGCAGTTGTGTTCAGTGTCAGAAAAGAGGAGTTAAAAATGACATGAGCACATACGGGGAACCTGACTCCTGTGGGGCCAGAAGACTTCCTTGAGGATGTGACATTTGACCTGAGAGGGTTGAGTTGGGATAAAACCAGCAAAGAGAGGAAGTGGAGAAGCATTCTGGGCAAAGGGGACAGCGTACGCAAAGGCTGTGAGGTCCAGAGGCTGTTGTGGAGTTGATGTGGAAGATGAGGTGGCAGCTGGGGCCTCTCTCTGCAGGCCTTTCAGGGCTGAACATAAGGGCTGGGTCTGTTTCCTGTAAGGAGTGATCAACTCTGCAGAGGCAGTGTTGAATAATGTTGAGACAACAGACAGAGCCAAACGGCCTGGGTTCCATTTCAGGTACCACCACTCATGGAGGTGTGAACTTGGGCAGGTCACTCCATCTCTGTGCCTCAGCTTCCCCCTCTGAAACATAGGACAGATAATAGGGTGTGCCTCTCCCTGCTCCCAGTCCCCCCTCCCATCAGAGATAACCACTGTCCCGACGCGCGTGATAATCGCTTCCTTGCTTTTCTTCATAGTTCTGCCGCCTACATTCTGTTGCATCCCTCAACAATAGAATTTGCCTTGCCTGCTTTTGAGCGTAATGTGATTGGAATCGGAGCCCTGGTGGCTCAGAGGTTAAGAGCTCAACTGCTAACCCACAGGTCAGCAGTTCGAATCCACCAGCCGCTCCTTGGAAACCCTATGGGGCAGTTCACCTCTGTCCTGTGAGGAATCATACAGTGTGTGCTCTTTCACATCTGGCGTCCTTCACCCGGCATTGACTTCGTGAGGTGCCGTCACATTGTAGCCATAACTCGTTTCTTTTTGTGGCTGTATATTTTTCCACAGTACACATTTGAAGATTCTTGTACCCATGCCCCAGGGCACGTGTGCACGGTTTATCTAGGCTGCGATCCTGGAGATGAAGGCTGAGTCATCGAGCCTCTCATCAGCCTTAATAGCTATCACTAAAACGTTTTCCCAGGTGGTTGCACCAATTCACACACCTCACCAGCCACATGAAGAGTTTCGGTTGCTCCACGTCCTCACCAACTCTTGATAGACTGTTTAGCTTTTACCATTCCGGTGGGTGTGTAATGTAAGCTTTCCTTTTTATTGAAATTTACTGAATTTTAAAAAGTGGGCTTAAGTAAAAATCTCAAGTTAAAAATTAGCACAGATGGTCTGTGGGATATGGCAGAAGCCCAGTGGTGTGGAAACGCAGCGCTGACTCGTGTTTGTGTTTCAGCTGACTCCACGGGAACCCACTCCCTCTACACCACGTACCAGGACTACGAGATCATGTTCCACGTCTCCACCCTGCTTCCTTACACCCCCAACAACAGGCAACAGGTCAGTAGGGCCCGGGATGAGGAGCCCCAAACGATCCCCAGCTGATGCACAAGTGAGTCCCAAGCGCCCTCCCTTGCTGTGGTCCTTGGGCGGCCGCCTCCCGGCCTTGGCTGTCCCGGTACCGTCCTGGGGACCGGATGGAGGCCCCTGGCCTTGCAGACCCCTTGGCACATGGTCACTTCACCTGGGCATCAGAGACTAGGCCAGGTGAGGTTGATGTCTGTTAGGTGCTGGTTTTTCCTGCCCTTCCTTGGCCACGTCGCTGGCCTCTAGCCACCTCAACTCAACTTCCCTGAAGGTCTCTGGAGTCATCAGAGGTCCTATGAGAAAGAAAAATGGACCAGTCAGCATTATTTTGGTTGCAAACTGGCATAAGCAACAAATGGAATTTACTGGGTCATGTAAGTCGGAAGTGCTGGGAGAGGGCTGGCTTTAGCTATGGCTGGCTCCAGACCCTCAGACGATGTTTGAAATTCTCTCCATTTCTCGGCTCTGTTTTTCTTCATGGTGGCTTCATTCAGAGGTCTGCCTGAGTGGTGGCAGAGACCCCCGCGAGCAGCCCGAGGCTCACATCCCACCAGCTTAGCCCCACAGGAGAAAGAGGACAGTTCCTTCCCAGATGTTCCAGAAGCAGTTTCAGGGATGGATCTTGTTGGGTCATTTATATGGCAGCTCCTGAGCCAGTCCCTGGGCCTGGATGGTCACATGATCACCCCTGTAGTGGGTCATTGACCTTGAAACATAGGCAGAGGTCAGGGAGGTGCCGTCCTAAAGGGGAACCCGAGTGTGGTTACCAGCAAAGAGGGAACGAGCATGGACAAAACCAGCACACACTGTCTGCCAAGAGGCTGCCAGTACCTCCCAGGTCCCCTCCTGGGCCCCCATGCAGACAGGGCCCCAGGAGACATGCTTCTTCATTTCTAACAGAAACCGCATAGTTTGTAGACAATTTGAAAACCAAACCCAAACCCATTGCCATCGAGTCGATTCCGACTCACAGCAACCCTATAGGACAGAGTAGAATTGCCCCATAGGGTTTCCAGGGAGTGGCTGCTAGATTCGAACTGCTGACCTTTTGGTTAGCAGGCGAGCTCTTAACCATTTTGCTGCCGGGGCTCCTGTTGACAGTTTAGGAAGTGTATATTTTTTCTAGTCGGTACAGGTGACATTGTAGATTTTATAGGTCAGGAACGGTCAAATATCAGCGATTTCATAAGGTTAACCTCATAGGACGCTGTCAAGAGCGTGGGTCTCAGAGTTAGACCTGAATTTGAGTTCTTTGCTACTTCCTAGCTGTGTGATCTCAGGTTAGTGGCTTCACCTCTCTGAGCCTCGACTCCCTCCTTTGTCAAATGGGCAGAATGATGGTGCCCATGTCTCAGGGTCGTGGAGAAGGGTCCATGCACTTGTGCGTGAAACCAGAGCAGGAAACAGGGCCCAGCACATCATAGGTACACAGGAAGCAGACCCTACTCCTGGGTATTTGGGAGGGAGGTGGAGAAAAGCATGGGTTTTGGAACCAGGCAGAAGTGGGTTAGAACCTGGTTCTCTCCTACCGTGACTGTGCGACCTAGGGTAAGTCATGTAACCTCTCTGAGCCTACGTTTTCTCATCTGTTAAAGGGAGGAAGGCGAGTTAATGCCTCATCGGGTTGTCGAGTTAAAATGAGGTCGTAGATGTAAGATATGGATGTGAAGTGCCTAGTACGGGGTCTGCCCCAGTAAATGAGCACGGAATCTAGAATTTCCATTGAATTCTGTTTGAAATGTGCTTAAAGAACTAGCAGCCCAGTAGCCTGAGTTGTGCTGATAAATGTGTTCAGGTTTCACATGTAGCCGCCTCACCTCACACTACCCATGTGGACTACATACTAGTTACGTGAGACTAAAGTTGTGTAAATAAGAATAATGTAATTTCAGCAAATAAGCAAAAGCACTGTGATGGCATCGCCTGTGAAAATAGCGGTCCTCCTCAGAGATGAGCAGAGCAGGAGGAGGAAGGGCATGGCTCCCCCACGGCCACTCTGGAGCTGCAGCTGCCCCAGCAACTTGAGCCACCTGGGGAAGGGGCAGCGGCAGGAACCGTCCTGCTGGCGGTCACTGGTCTGACCGCCATTGTTCACAGTTGTGGCTTTGAGCAAGTTGAAGACCACCAGCCTATGCTGTCATTCAGTCAACATTTATTGAGCATTCGCAGTGGTTAAGAGCTCGGCTGCTAACCAAAAGGTCGGCAGTTCCTATCCTCCAGCCACTCCTTGGAAACCCTGTGGGGCAGTTCTACTCTGTCCTGTAGGGTCGCTATGAGTCAGAATTGACTCGATGGCAGTAGGTTTGGTTTTTTTGTGATACTGTGTGCCAGGCACTGTGTCCCTGGAGACAGTAGTGGGCAGTGAACAAAACAGACAAAACCCCCGTTCTCCTGGAGCAGACATCTCAATGGGGAGAGACCGACAAGAAACAAAAGGAAGAGGAAAAGCCGTGTGTGCTTGTATGTGTTGATGTGTTCAGTTCATGAGAAAAGGAGAGAGTGGTTGCTGGGTGGACGGCCAGCACTGTCTGCCACCGATGGAAATAGCCATTAACACGAGAAAACATTTTTGACGACATTTTCTCGGTGAGCAGAGCTACCGTTTTTGGCCCTGCCGTGAATGTACAGCGTCCTCTTCTGCGTCCTTCAGTCCTCTCGAGCCAGCCTCTGACATCTCCTTTTTCCCCCTTTCTGTGGTCCCCTCACCAGCTCCTGAGGAAGAGGCACATTGGGAACGACATTGTGACCATCATCTTCCAGGAGCCTGGAGCGCTGCCCTTCACCCCCAAAAACATCCGCTCGCACTTTCAGCATGTCTTCATCATCGTCCGAGTCCACAACCCCTGCACTGATAATGTCTGCTACAGGTACAGTGGGACAAGCAGGGATCACCCCACCCCCGCCCCACGCACACCCACAGGGGAGCCCCAAAAAGCTGGTTCCCACATCCAGGCAGCGTGCAGATCCAGAGCTGACAGCGGGCAGCCTGTGTTTCTTGTTTGTGCTTCAGCATGGGGGCTCTGTCCACATGTTCCCAACCTTCCAAGAGAGTGGTTCCCAACCAGAAGGGGCACATCTCCCTAATCTGGAGAAGGAAGTTATCAGGGATTTCTATCTGCCCGAAATCTTTTGGTTGCAAGTGACAGAAAACCCACCTCAGTCAGGCGTAAGAAATCTAAGTATCCCTTGGCCCACAAAAATGATAAGCCCAGGCATAGGTGGATCTGCTCAGCTTTCCTATGTCCACATGGCTTCATTTTCTGGAGCTCTGAGCTTAACATCCTGTCAGCTGCAAATCCAGCAAAAGAGCTTTTCTTTCCCAAGAGCCACATCTGAAGTCCCAGCAGTGAGGCTCGTTGACCTGACCCCAGTCATGACCCCATCCTAGAGCCAGGCCGAAGGCAACTGACCACCTGGCCTGGGAGGCAGAGGAGTGGTTTCCCAAAGGAGAACCAGAAGACACAGGGCTGGAGACATGGGCAGCAAAGCCCACAGTGGTCCCCCGTCAGGAGGCGGAGTGGGGATCTGTAGATCACAGGCTGACAAGTAACACAGGCCTCATACCCACCGTGTCCTTTTGTATCCTTTTCACCAGGGGAGGGGGCAGCCCTAAAGGACAAACAGAGAGCCCTGTGGATGTAGGGTGGGAGGATGGTCCCTCCAAACCATCCTGTTAACTCAGGCCCAGGCCAAGGTCCACAATGGCCCCAGAGCAGCACGTCAGACTCCGGGGAATGGGCTTGGGTGTGTCATTGTCTGTTTTTATAAAAACGCTTTAAAATCGAAAACGTTCAAAAGGATTTGCAGGTAAAAATCTCTCTCCCACTCCTGACTCCCAGCCACCCATTTGCCCTCACAGAGGCTACGGCTGTTGAGTTTCTTATGTATCCTGATGTTTTATGCACATAAATAGCATGTAAAAAAAAAAAACAAGCCTGTTGCCATGGAGTCGATTCCAACTCATAGTGACCCTACAGGACAGAGTAGAATTGCCCCACAGGGTTTCCAAGGAGCAGCTGGTAGATTCGAACTGCTGACCTTCTGGTTAGCAGCCATAGCTCTTAAACTACTGCACCACCATGTAAGTATTGCTCTGCCTCCTTTTTAAGACAAACAGTAGTACAGAATCCACGTTCCTCTGCACCCTGCCATCGTTTCACTCCATCTGTGAGGTCTTTCTGTGGCAGTACATACTTTTTCGCTCTTCATGACTGTGTAGTATTCTGTCGTATGATGCGACGTGCATTCAGGTGTCTGTGTGGTTGTAACATCCACACCTTCCCCCACCCCTGTTGGTGGAGAGCCGTGTTGTTGCTGTCACCTGCTGTTACGGTCCGTGTGGCAGTGAATCACCTTGTAGAAACTCTCACCGCACGCGTGTCCAGGAATACAGCTGGAGGAGAAACTCCTCCACGTGGGAATGCTGGATCCCGGGGTGTGTGCCTGTGTGCACTGCTAATCTTGATGGAATTACCCGATTCCACCAGCTTCTCCTCTTCGCTGAGTGTACGAGCATGCCTGTGTTTCCCCAGCCTGCACAGGAAGGACCTGGGGGATTCCAGTGCCCAGCGCTGGCTGCTAAGAACCATGTACGGATTGTGCTGTCCAGGCGGCTGCTGGGCCAGCACGCGGCACAGCAGGGCCTCCATGCTGCAGCGACGGCCCAGGCCTGAGGCCCCTTCTCCCCCTGCCCATTCGTTCCCAGAACACTCAGGAAGCGCTGCAGGGCTGTCTGGGCCTCCGGCCCTCTGTGAGTCTGAGGTCATTCAGACAGTGCTAGAGTTTAAGGTACATTGTTTCTGCAACACACACACACACACACACACTTCAAGCAGAAAAGGAGGCAGCCTTCTTGTAGGGCACTGGAGGGGGTTTGAGTGGGGTCAGGTCCCTTCTCCCCTTGCCCCACTCTGAGTCCTCTCTGACCTGGGTTCTCACAGTAGCCCTGGGGCCGCCCGCCCTCCCCTTCGTCCCTTCCCACAAGCCTCTGCTCAGCCTCCAGGGTAGTTTCTTTTCCTGATGCACAAACCTTTCTTGTTTTTTACAGTTCAATTTAAAATAATTTTATTTTGCAAAATTGTAAACATTCTGAAAAGTACAGAAAATAATACAACAGACACCCATGTGCCTACCACCCACATTTAACAGATGTTAACATTTTGCCATATTTGCTTCCACTCTTTTTTTTTTAAGAAAGAAAATGTTAGAGATTCACCAAAGCTGCCCCCTCACCCTCCACCCACCCGCACCTGGCCTCCACCTCCCTCCTTACCCCCAGGCAGCCCCTCTCTGGACAAATCTTGCCCTCTGTCTCCCCTGCTGGGAGCCCTTCCCCAGAACTCAAGGCCCCAACTCGGCCTAGCCTGACCTCCTGCTCCCGACCCCTTGTGACCCCCACCCCCAAGTGAATTCCCAATTGTCCTTCAGGACTGAACTCAGATGTGCCCCTGATATCCCCCAGGGGTGACCACCCCTCCCACGCAGTGTAGCCTCCCTTGAAGATGACTCCACGTCACATTCACCTTCGTCTGTCTAACAGCGTGCTGCTTGGCACATGCCCGCTGCCATCGAGTCGGTTCCGACTCACAGCCACCCTGTAGGACAGAGGAGAACTGCCCTATAGGGTTTACAGGGCTGCGGTCTTTACAGAAGCAGACTGCCACATCTCTCTCAGCGAGCGGCTGGTGGGTTCAAATCGCTGACCTTCTGGTTAGCAGCAAGCGCTTAACCACGTTGCCACCAGGACTCCTTCACTTGGCACACAGTGGGCCCTACAGACATTTTTGCTGACTAGATGGAGCCCTGGTGGCGCAGTGGTTAAGAGCTACAGCTGCTAACCAAAAGGTCGGCAGTTCGAATCCACCAGCCGTGCCTTGGAAACCCTATGGGGCAGCTGTATTCTGTCCTGTAGGGTCGCTATGAGTTGGAATTGACTCGACGGCAACGGGTTTGGGTTTTTTCCGCTTAGTCAGTATTGACACCTGTGCTGGGGGGTCAGCGAAGCCCAGGGTGGTACCTGCCCATGTGGCACTCCTGGGGTGTGGGCAGGGTCACTGGACAATGAACAGTGGAGGTGGGGAGCGAGGGGTCTGGCCCGCTGGTCTGGGAGCCCCCTCGCGGGTCTCCTGTGTGTGTTCTGGCCCCTGCAGTCTGTTCTTCCACGGCAGCCCCCACGATCTTTGCAGATTGCCCATCTTCTCAGCTAACACCTGCATCCATCAGGGACCTAACAGGAAACAGGTGGCTCCTCAGGGATTCCGTGGGTGGGGGTTGATGAGCGGACTATGGGTTGGTTAGGGGAAACAGCGAGGGAAGGTGGGGCAGCTACGGGCTAGCAGCAGCAGGGAACCATTACCCACCCCCAGGCTTGAAGGGCAGGGGCTGGGGGAGCAGGTTTTGGAAGCTGGGGAGAGCTGTGGCCCTGGGAGAGGGCCCACCTGGCAGGAGCTGGGCTGTGAGTAAAGGACCACAGCCACGGTCACAGCCCAGCCTCTCCCTCCTCCCACCTCCCATCTCCCACCAGGGCCTCTCATTGACCAAACACAGCTGAAGCCAGAGGGTACAGGAGCCCAGTGACAGAGTCCGTAGAGATCAGCGTCCAGAGCACCAAGCAGGGCAGACAACGGTGGGGCTGGGTCTAGGGACACACAGTAAACAGCCAGCCTGAACCACGAAATGGTTCTTTGTTCTTAGGATAACAATGGAAATTGCTAACATACCATCAAGACTGCATGGTCCGGCCCCTGTGCCTTGCCAACCTGCAACCCCTCACTGCACCTCGCTCCCTGGGCTCTGGCCCCCTGCCTGGAGCACCCTCTGGGTCCTCCTCCTCCCTTTATCTCCGCCTAATTGTCACCTCCTCAGAGGGGCCCTCCCAGCTTCCCCGCGTCCAGACCACGTCCTTCTGTTGTTTGTGGTGACACAGCCTGTTCACCTTGTTTGTGTTTAGACAGTAATTGGTGTGTTTGTTTAGTACGTCTCTCTTCCTAGACTGGAAGCTCTGGGAGGGCAGGGCCTGGTGTATGCCCAGTGCCCAAAAGAGCAGGCATCCAGGAGCTGCTCGTCACACAAGTAGATGAATGTCGCACTCTGCCCCTTATCAGTGTTTGTAGGGGGCCAGCAAAACCTGAGCAAGCGTTGCAGTGCATTTGGGTTTCCTGGGGTATTTTTCGATCAGGAATGAAAAATTATCCTACAGTAGGGAGAGAAATGAGCGGAGGTCTCCCTTTCCACCATCCTCACAAGTGGGGGTTTTGGTAGAGGATGAATACGATAACACTTTAAGGAAAACTTGGTGCATTTATCGCTCAATCATTTATATGAGCTGATCCAGTTTTTAGTTGTTACGTAAACAGCGTAACTCACGGGGTCTCCACAGACCCTTTAAACTTCTCTCCGCGAGGGTCACCTTCCCCTGCCCACGGTGAGTGCTCTGCAATGCCTTGGGCTTTCTGCTTGCTCTCAGACATCGTCTGCCCTACGGCCACTGAGTCTCAACTCGATTTGGTCAGTAGAGTGTCAAATCCAAGATACTAATCAAATCTCCAAGCTTGATTCATCAGCCGGCCTTCTCCCCGCTCCTGTCTCGGGCTGTCTCCACCTGGAAGGCAGCCTGTGGTGGATGAGGCAGCATGTGGACCCTCTGTCTGTCTCTACCTGGTGCTTCTTCCCCCACAACCCCAGCCTCACTCGCTGCCGCTTGCTGACCCATCCAGGGCTGGCACGCAGGGAGGACAAGTGGGAAGGAGGCCAGGATGCGCCGCTCAGACCGTGACCAACTGTGTGTTCTCAGGGTTCTTCAGGGACTCCCTGCCCATCCCCCAGATCTCACAGGCGGGAGGAGACCCCAGCCAACCCCCTACTGGGAGGGTCACCTAGGAGATGCCTACTAGGGAGGAGGAGAGGGGAGAGGATGGAACTCGCCATCCAGCTTTCCCCAAAGATTTCCACCCAGCAAGATCCTCCCTCCCACTGTAGTTTGCGTCATGGGTGAGAAGGTTCAAGTGGGCGAGAGGAACCGGCCTTACACCATTTCCTTTGTACAGTTTCACGCAGTTGCCGTCTGATTTCCGTCCTATTGACATCTTGGTCAAAACTGAATCAGGAAGCGTGCCTAGATTCTAACCCCGTTATAATGAATTTTCAAAATAACCTTGCTTGAAATGGTTTACGAAATGGATTAAAGAGTGTTAACGCAAGTATTTGAAACAACTAAACCACACAAATGTTCCCCATCAGTCAGGTATCCCTACAGCAGCGCTGCACAGTGAACCTTCCCAAAACACGGTGGCTCACAGACGTGCTCGTTTCTGGCTCACACAGCTGTAGGTCAGCTAGGGCTGCGCTGGGCTCCAGACACAGCTGCACGCGTCCCTCACCCTCCCGGGGCGAGTATATGCACATAAAGGTGGAGAGAAGGGATGGATTTTTGCCACTCCATAATTTAATCTCCCACACAGTCCGTAGGTTTTAAAAAGGAAGAGCTAAAGTTGAAAGATACTGGGGGAATTATTTAGATATCATT